CGAGATTCTGGCCTGCTCACCTCTGCCTCTCCCACCCTTGGCTCCTTGGTCCTGATCAGACCCCACACCCGCCCACTTACAGGCCTCATTCGGAGCACCTGCATGTTAACCCCGGGGTGCCCACAGTCTTGATAGGGGTCTAATGTTTGCCCTTCTAGCACCTGCTGAAAGATCATGTGGATACCTCAAAGTCCCACCAAACCACCCTCTACAGCCTTTCATTTTCCACGTTGAGAGCACTTGAGGAGCTGTGTGGTTTGCCCGCAGGCCTGGGCTCCTTCATGACAAGGCGGGGCTTTCTTCATCACTCCCGTCAGTGTGTGCTGAGTGAATGAATGAATGTATGCACAAGTGGATAATGAGAGACTTCACCTCTTCCCCCAGTTGTAGGGCACCCTGCATCTGCCAGCCTCAGAGCACATCAGAGCACCTTGAAGTGTCTGCACAGCCACTGTCCCTTCCTCATTGCTCCCAGACAGCCATCCCGACACTCAGGTTCTCCTGCTTGGGAACCAGGGGCAGGCATCTCATGATGGGGAAGCTTTCCCAAAGGAGGGGAAGCCCCCAAAAGTTCATCTTTCCCAGAAGGACTCCTTAATCACAGAGAGATGATTCTCAGGTGGGGTGGGAATCTGATCGCTCACACTGAGGAAGAAAGCCAGTTCCTCTCTACTCAACAGGACTAGCTTCTTCATTTTTCATTTTTAGTTGAAGTATAGTTGACGTGTAATATGATATTGGTTTTAGGTGTACAACATAGTGCTATTACATGATGCTCATCAGGGTAAGTGTAGCTACCATTGGTCACCACGCAACACTATTACCATATTACTGGCCATATTTTCCATTCTGTCTTTTTATCCCTGTGACTTATTTATTTTATAACTGGAAATTTGTTATATTCAAATTTACCTATTCCTCTTCACTTATTTTGTCCACCCCTCCTCCCTCTGCCCCGGTGACCACAAGTTTGTTCTCTGTATCTGAGTCCTTTTACAGTTTTTTATTTTTGTTTGTTTTGTTTTTTAGATTTTACATATATGTGAAATCCTATGGTATTTGTTGTTCTCTGTCTGACTTATTTCACCTAGCATAATACACTCTGGGTCCATCCATGTTGTTACAATCAGAAGATTTCATTCTTTTTTATGACTAAGAGATAGTCCATCGTGTATACATGCCACATAGTCCTCATCTATTCATCTATGGATGGACACTTAGGTTGTTTCCATACCTTGTCTACTGTAAATTATATTACAGAAAACATAGGGGTGCATGTATCTTTTTGAATTAATATTTTTGTATTCTTCAGGTAAACACCTAGAGGTGGAATCACTGGGTCATACGTTGATTCTACTTCTAATTTTTGAGAAACCTCCGCACTGTTTTCCAGAGTGGCTGCACCAGTTTACATTCCTGCCAACAGTGCACAGGGGTTCTTTTTTCTCCACACCCTCACCAACACTTGCTGATTCTTCTCTTTTTCATTTTAGTCATTCTGACAGGTGTGAGGTGATTTTGATTTGCATTTCCCTGATGATGAATGATGTTGAGCATCTTTTCATGTGTCTGTTGGCCATCTGTATGTCTTCTTTGGAAAGATGTCTATTCAGATTCTTGGCCATTTTGAAAATTTGTTTTATTGGTGTTGAGTTGTATGAGTTATTAAATATAGTTTGGATATTAATCCCTCATTAGATGTGTCACTTGCAATATCTTCGTTCATTCAGTAGACGGCCTTTGTTTTGTTGATTGTTTCCTTTACTGTGCAAAATCTTCTGAGTTTGATGTTGTTCCAGCAGTTTATCTTTGTTTTTATTTTCCTTGCCTAGGGAGACATATCCAGAAAAATATTGCTTAGGGTGACATCAAAAATTTACTGCCTATGTTTTACGAATTTTATGGTTTTGGGTCTCACATCTAGGTCTTTAATCCATCTTGTATTTATTTTCGTGTATGGTATTAGAAAGTGGTCCAGTTTCATTCATTTGCATGCAGCTGTCCAGTTTTCCCAGAGCCATTTATTGAAGAGACTATCTTTTCCCCACTGTGTAGTCTTGCCTTCTTTTTCAAAGACTAATTGACCATATAACCATGGGTTTGTTTGGGAGATCTCTAGTCTGTTCCATTGATGTATTTCTCTATTTGTGTGTCAGTACCATCCTGTTTGGATTACTACAACTTTGTAGTATAGTCTGCCATCTGGGATTGTGATACCTGCAGCTTTGTTCTTTCTCAAGATTACTTTGGCTATTCAGGGTCTTTTGTGGTTCTATACAACTTTTATAATTATTTATAGAACCAGCTTTTTTGGAAGAGGCTAAATCCCCTTCACCAGTTCTCCTAAATGATGCTTAAGGAAAATCCCACAGGGCTCTGTACAGTGGCTTACTGTCAGACCTTCCCCTGGAGTCTAGAACTATTCCTACTCTCAGACTGAGCTAGGAGAGAGAGAACACAAAAGGGAGAACTCTTGGCATCTATGAAGCCCTGTCCCCTACTGTCTTGCTCCTTAGCAAATCCTCCGGCTCCACAGGATCCTAGGACCAACTTACTTTCACTTGCTCATCTATAATGCTTCATTCTGGACCCTGCGGATTTGAGGCAAATCAGCCATAATTTCTGCCTTCAGGGCCATTATCACCTCTTGATAAGAGGTTCCAAGTCTGTATCAGAAGTGCAATGGTAGACGTCTCAGAGAGTTCCCTGGGCTGGGAGGGGTAAGCCCCTAGGTGTTTGCAGAAGATGGTGGTCAGGGATGTCTTCATGGCAGCAGCAACAGGTGCTCTGGGCTCTCAGGACAGGGCTGAGAGGCTTGCTGGAGACCCCAGGGTGGTAAGACCACTCCTGGTGCAAAAATGTCGAGGCTGGAGAAAGCCTGGATGTCATTTCGGGAAAATGCTTTGAAGGAGTGGCTGCGTGGCTGTGTTGATGGAAGGGGTTAGATTTACTCTGTGTCCCCAAGGATGTGGGAGGGAAACCAGGATTAATGCCTGGTAGCACAAGGACACAGATTTGAGCTTGGCATGATGAAGAACCTTCTAAGTGTCTGTGCCACGTTAGGAAGCTCTCTTTCATAGGGGAATTCAGGCTGGCTACCACTTGTCAGGGATGTTGGGGAGAATCAATCAAGCACTGGGGTGGGGCAGGTTAGGTCTAATCAACAATTTTCAAACTATTTTCAAGACAAATCCCCTTTTTCAAAGGGAAGTTTCTAGTATGCAATGGATAAAGGCTGGTATGACTAAATAAAGCAAGGGTGGGGGGTGGGGGTGGGGCTTCAAATTCCCGTCACCTTGCTGCCCCCTACCTTCCAGTTTGAGATTCATGATATCCAGAAGGCTTCCATCTACCAGTATTAACCCCCCCACCGCCCCCCTACCTCCTCTCTCTTTTCTCCACACCACCCGTGAGAAAGGAGCGTGTGGGAAATGCTAGAGCCTCTGTACAGTCAGTATTTGTTAAGAAGCTGCCATGTATTTGCCACTACTCTGCGTGCTGGGGAGAAAGCAGAGGTAAGTGGATGCCGCAGACTCGGCCCTCACCGCGTTCACAGTCTAGTAAGGGGCAGAGTCATAAATATGTTTATGGCACGTTGTGAAAAGGGGGGCCAGTGGGCTGGGATACCCACCCTTTCTGGGGCATCCCCAGGCCTCCCACCTCCCAGGCTGGTTCTCTTTCTCCTACCAAGCTGCATCTAGAAGGTGACTCCTCTGTGGGCATGAGGGTCAGGAAGAAGGGCTATCAGAAGGTGAGTCTCCCCAGCTCTTGGCTCTCTAAGTCAGGCAGGGAAGGGGCTGGGGGCTTCTAAATTCTGCTTCTCAACCTCACAGCCTGGAAGAGTTCCTGGAAACACCCTATATGCTTGAGTGGGAGCCATCAAATCCTTGTACCCACAGCAGAGCCCCATGGGCCTTTAGACCAGAGGCCTTTGCAGTTGGCTTGCAGACAGCCTGGGACCCAGTTACAGGCAGCCAGAGTGGGGCAGCGGAAACCTGACTGGCTCTTTCTTCCTGCTCAGTAGTGGGAAAGGAGCTGGGACATCCAGCCCATAGAAAAGATAGATTCAAGGCCCTTCCCTCTCTGCACTTTTTTGTTTTATTTTAGATTTTACTTATTTATCTGAGAGAGAGAGAGAGCATGAACAAGAGGGAGGGATAGAGGGAGAAGCAGGTTCCCCACTGAGTAGGGAGCTCAATGTAGGGCTTGATCCCAAGATCATAACCTGAGCCCCCAGCACCCCTCTGCACTACTTTGAACAATTCTTCCACTTTATGACCTTGGGCTGGTTCCTTCTCCACTCTGTCTCACTTTCTTCATTTCCAGGGAGGCCTGAACCCAAAGTCCAACCTCCTCATGGTAGTGGTCGAGCCTTATAGCTGCAGGGACATGACTGGAGCTCTTCTCTCTCTCCATCCTGCTGGCACTGGGTGGGCATGGGGTCAGACTCCCCCACTTTCATCCCTGCCCGCACCTGCCCCAGTGTCCACCCATGATGACATTGCTTGGTCTGTGAAGAGACATCAATTTGCTCAATGTGGATTCAGAACTCAGCTTATGGGTAAACATCTCCAGTATAGTGTCCTCAGACACAGTCCATCTAGGATCACCTCTGGACAACTTCCAGAGGAATAAGGTCTCTTAGGAGACACACAGCTGTGGAAGGTGGTAGACAGCACTGTGGGAAGGGGCCAGGGCTTGGGTGGGGGTGGCCTGAATGTTGAGGGAGGTATCTGCCTTTTGCTTTCTATGGTATTGACTGGCAGTATGGCAGTACGAGGAAGTCCTGAGCTGGAGTGAGGTGACTGGGGCCTGAGTGAGAGGTGAGGAAATGGTCAGGGAAGTGAGCCCAAGGGGCTTAGAACAGACCCACATTTTGTGGCTTCTCACTCTGTTCTTACCATGTGAAGGGGTTGGGCAGTTAGGGGGCAGGGCCGCATGGCACCCTGGCCCTGGAGGGACAGGCTAGAGGCAGGCGGTGGAAGAAGCAGGCAAAGTGCTGGCTTGGAGGAAGACTTTATTTTGCCCCCCAGCTAAGGCCGTTCAGCCTCTCTGTGGCCCTAGGTGGGCAACCTCCTGATTAGTGGCTGTGGCCGTGGCCATGGCCACCATGGCTGTGGCAGTGGCCCTGGCTGCCCTCCCCAAAGCCTGGCCCATGGCTGTGGCCCTCTCCCTCCGGGGCATTCTTGTGCATCTCCTCATGCGAGGCCACCGTCAGCCTGGCCACCAGGATGGAGAACTCTTCAAAGCTCAGTTCCTTGTCTCCGTTCGTGTCCAGGTCCTCCATGATCTTGTTTATGGCGTTGTCATTCTTCTTCTGCTTCTGTGGGTGCAGGTGACAAGGGCAGTTAGGGCCGGCATGGCCAGCTCTGCAGAAGGGGAGCTCTGCACTGACCCCAGGCAAAGGCACAGGGAACCTGACTCCCAGGCCTCAGTTAAAAAATTAGAAATGACCATTGAACTGATGTGCACAGACTAGCAGATGTTGAACATGTGTTAGACACTTGCTGATTTTTTCTGCATCCAACCTGGGCACTACGATTCTCTCCATTTTACAGGAGAGGAACTGAGATCACGGGACTTCCTTGAGGTCACGCAATTAGTATGTGCAGAAAAGTCACCTCATTTGGCCTTTATAACAAGCTTCACAGGGCATCTTCCTGGAGGAAGCTGTCTTAGAAAAGGGGAAGTAGTTTGTGCAGATCCATGAGGCTTGGGAGGGGGAGAGTGGGTGTGAGCCCCACCTGTCCCAGTCCCTCTACCAGTGTGGGCTCCCTCCCGTTGCCTACCTGTTCCTTCCCTCTCTAGGCTACTTATTACTGACACTCATTTCAACCTACTTGGGGGGGGGGGACATCTGATGAAAACAAGATGGTTTGTATGTTGTGTGGGGCCGGAGAGAGGTGCATGCTCTGCATTGACCCCAGGCTGTGAGAGTTTGGGGGTGGGGAGGACCCAGGCTGCAGTGGGTGGGCCGATAGGCCAGGCAGGCTCAGCTGAGGCCCCTCCCAGTGCCCCCCTTGTGGTGCCCTGCTCAGCTCCCAGGCCAGTCCACATCGCCTGGTCTTCTGTGCTTTCTCTGCCAGCCTGGGCTGAGCCCTCACTGTGCCACAGCTGCTGGGCAGGGCCTCAGTTTTCCCTCCTGGACACGGGAGGCGGGCGGTGGGGTGGGTGGAGGAGTTCCACGGAGGAGAACCTGGTCCCACCAGCTCCTGGCTGTCCTGACCCGGCTTCCCCTTGCACCTGTGTGGAGCTGTGAGCATCCCATCTGCTTCCTGAGGGGTGCGGGCCTGGCCTTGGGGAGGGCGGGAGGGCACCAGCTGCCCCGGGGGTGTGGAAGGGAGCCTGAGGGCAGGCATCTCACCCTTCTTACTCCTGCCTGTTTCCCCATAGTTGTAAAGTACACTGGAAGATGGGGGGGGGGGGTCGGGGCGGGGGGGAGGAACGAAGGAACAAATCCTCCATTTTTTCTAGAACTGCCTAGAAATGTTCCCATTAGGGAAATAAACTAATCATGTTACTAAGTGTTTTTTGTTCCTGGGTGCATCTCCCCATGCTCTGTGCTCCCTGCTCCGGACCCTCCCACTTAGGGAGGCCCCACAGCTCTCACACTCAGACCTCTCTGGGTTCAGGTTCTGGTCTGCTCCGGGCTGTCAAGGCTCATCCTCAGGTGCTTCCCTCCCCAGGTCAGGTGTCAGCTCTGCTCCCCCCACCCCATCACCTGCAGCGCTCTCTCTCATGTCCTTTGGAGCACTAATGGCATTGGATTCATCCGTATTCTTTGTGAGACAACATCTTTCCTGTGTGTCCCAACCATGGGGCCCTATGTGCCACTACATACCCGCACACAGCACACACGGCCTGCTTCTACCTGGGAGCAGCTCCAGGGACAGAGCACCTGCTGCCCCTGGAGGGTGGGTGAAGGAGCTGGGATTTCCTCCTTGGCCACTGCAGAGTGCACCCCACGCCCCAGGCTTGCCTGGAACCCCTGCCTACCTTGAGGAAGTTTAGCAGCTCCTTTTTCACCAGCTGTTTCATTTCTTTCTGGTTGAGTGTGTCCGGATGCCCCAGCCGCACAGAGTACTGGTGGAAGATGTTGATGATGGTCTCGATGCTACATTCTAGCTGTGACATCTGGTCCGCCATTTTCCTGCACTCTGTCTGAGGAGTGGACAAGTGAGGGTTCAGGAGCTTAGAAGAAAAGTTGCTGAGCTCCCCTGACATCTCTCAGGCTGCTCGTAGAAACAATGGGGGTGATACAGAAGGAAAAGAAACTCTGCAACTGCTCTGGGAGAAGATCCTGCCCCAAGTGGCAGGGGTGGCTTTAGAATATCTGGAGAATGCTAAAGAGAAGAACATTTGAAGACAAGAGGCTCCCGCAGAATACGATCCAAGAAAATGTGAGGAAATTTTCAAGTGGGTGGATCAGTCACAGAGGGCTTTCAGGAGGAGGCCTTGGAGGAGGCCTGTCATGGTGGGAGGTTAAGAAGAAGTCAGAGTGGAAGGTTAGAACTCACTTACCCAAGCCAGGGAGCCACACAGAGGGGTTTGATAGCTCGGTGTGTGTCTCGCATTTATAGGCAGCTCCCGGCTGGATGCTCGGCCCTCTTGGGAAGATTGCTTCACAGGTGAGCAGTGTGGTAATGCTGAGCTGGGCTGTCAGTGCCAGGAAGGGTGCTGGGGTGGGACAGGAAATGTTCACAAAGCTCCTTCAGCCTTTTTGTGAAATGCCCAGCCCGGGGCCTGGAGCCGGTTTGGGAGGAAGCTGGCTGGGTAGCTCACTTCCCCTCAACCTCCACCCTCTGCCCTACCTGAGCAAGCCAGCAGCCTCTCCCTCAGTCGCCCCCTGCTCCCACCGAGGTTGGGTCAGTCAGTGGCTGCTGGCTCTGCGTCTCCCATGCGTGCCAGTAGCCCAGCAAGCCCTCCTTTTCTCCCACCTGGCTCTGAGATAAACACTCCTTGACAGCTGAGGTTCTTGGACTCAGGATGAGCTGGAGATTGGAGGGTCATTGGAGGCACTGCACCCCCTTGTATTGCAGATGAGGAAGCTGATGCCAGAGAGCGGCCTGCTTGGTGACATATCAGGAACTGGGCCCAGACATTCTGGTTTTTGGTTAAGGGTGATTCTGATCACACCTCCCTCTTGCAGTCTGAGTGACAGATCCTCAGGGTGAATGTGTTTCTAGAGCCATGCCTTCAGGAACTCACATAGCAGAAGGCAAATATTTTTATGTAGCTTCTCGTTGGGCAAGATCTGTCCCTCCCAGGCTACAAACCTCCCCTGCCCAGGGCAGCAAACTGAGCTACTTAGCACAGCACATAGAGCTCCCCAGAAACACCTGTCCTGCCCTGCTCTGCACATCAGCTTCCCCTCCTGCCCCCATCCAGCTCCTCCCTTGGGCCCATAGGCTCCCCTGCCACATGCACCCCAGGCCTTCGTCTTTGATGCTCTCACCCCTTCACTCATGACATGGTGCAGTCCTCCTGACCCCTCGTGGCTCGGTTCAAATGCCACCTCATCCAGAAGCCTGCTGGTCTTCCCAATTGGAAACCATTGTTCCTCTTCAACACCACTCCCACACCACTGCCAGCTCTCAATACTTGCTCTCCTTGATTTGTGTGTATATTTTGCCTGACAACTGCCTGTAGATCCTCAAGGGAACTACTTCATGTTCCTACCCTCCTGAGCACACGACCCAGGGCTTGGCAGATGGGAGATCTCACATTTGCTAAAGGATCATGTCCTGACTGGCAGCCTCTCCTCGAGACCCAGGAAGCATGTCTGGAGGACTTTGCTCTGGCCAAGCTCTCCTGTATCTGGGAAGATGTCCTCTTCCACCCCTACCAGTGACTCTGTCCAGTCTTTGTGAATCCTCCCCTCACTTCTCAGCCCCTGTTCACTGCTTGGCTTTCTGAGACCTCAGGCACCCCTGTGTGCTGTGCCTTGGCCCTGAGCACGTCCTGCCTTGTACTGCTGAGATGGCACACGGAATTGTGGTTAAGAGTTCAGACTGGCTGTGTGACCTTAGGCAGTTTACTTAACCTCTCTGGGCCTCACTTCTTTGTCATTAAAACAGGAAAATAGCAACCTGTCTTGAGAATCGAGACCATATGTATAAAGGTGGAAGAGCTCAGTAAATAAGAGGCAATCTTATTAGTTATCGTTTCATTCGTTAATACAAGTATTGGTTGAACACCTACTATGTGCCAGGCAGTAGGGCTAGATGTTGGAGGAACTTGATGAAGGAGTCCTAATACGTGGAGGGGATGTAATCTAATGTCTCGCATTCCTAATCACATCTTAAACCCTTGGGAGCTAAGGACAGGACCTAGCACAGTGCCAAGTACACAGCAAATTTTTTATAAACAGTTGCTTGAATCAATGAGTAAATCACCCTGATGGAATGAACAGTGCAGGACCAGGTCTGCCCTCCGTGTTTGCCCTGGTGGAGGAAGCGCAGGCTGTTAAGGAATCTCTCTTCTAGGCACTGCAGCAGGTGCCTGGGGCTCCTCTCCCCTGCACCCCAAAGCGCCCTCTGCTGGCTGTGCTTTCGCTCTGCACCACGGGGCCCAGACCCCGGCTTGCAGGGAGAAGGCAGTGGAGCTCCCTGGGGGACTGCTGGCAATCCCCGTGGGGCCTCCGCCAGGAGACAGTATGGACTGGTGGAAACTGTGGTGAATGGGACTGTTCTTACCTCCAAGGAGCAGCAGTACTTACCCTTGGGCTGAGGGGGGCAAGTAGACCAGGTGTTGTCACATCTCCTGAAGGCCCAGAAAATAGGAATTTTTATGTGAAAACTCCTGCTTATAAAATTGTTCAGCTAATTTTACAGAAAAGTAAAAACATTAGCAATGAGGCATGACGTGTGCCAAAGAAAGCACGCCTACAGGCAGATGGCGTGTAGCATCTGCTGCGCCCCTGCTTCTGACCGGCAGGCCTGCCTCATCTGCTCTGCTGCGGCTCCTCAACGCAGAGCCTAGGTCGGAGCAAGGGCCTGGTTCTGTAGGCGCTGGATGAACATGTGGCGAAAGAATAAATGCAGGAGTGCACGAATAAGCAAAGAAATGAGAAAGCATGAAGATGAACACTGCTCTGTTGCCCTATGACTTTCCGCAGAGCCCTTGCCTGTGACGGTCGAGTGTCACAGGATTTCAGTAAAATGGGGGATGTGGAGAATAGGACCAGCAACTGGGGGGAGTGGGCAGCGGGGCAGGCCTCCAAATAGATGGGGGTTTGCACCTGTGGGTCCCATGTTGGTAGTGGTTCTCTTGCATCAGAAGGCCATAATGCTCCAGGCTCCAGGCTGGCCCCAGGAGGCTGGGGCTGAGCTGTGGAGGTCCTGACCCAAGCAGCTTATTTCTGGTTCCATCCAGTCGCTGCCCCAATGCCACCTATCCTCACTGCCAACCAAGGCCACAGGTTGGGATGTGGGGTGGTAGGGAGTGGGGTCTTCTCCTTGGGGAAGCTCAGAGCCTCCTGCTATGGCATGATTTGGGGCCATTCTCCTAGTTCCAGACAGTGATTCTGGAGGCTGCCATTGAAAGAAAAGGTTTCCTCAGCTGTGGTCAAAACAATGAAACAACCATGAAAGCATGTGTTTCTTCCCAGTGTCCAGAACCGAGAGTGGGCCTGTGTCCGCTTCTGTGCAGCCATCCTGCTGTCGTCTCTTCTAAGTTGTTGGTATCAAACCAGGTATTATAATGGGGCTGTGTGTCCTTCAGCCTGCAGGATCCTGGTGAGAGCTCAGGCTCAGTGAAGCGCTGAGCTCTGGATGCTAGCCCTTGCTTCTCCAGACTTTTTGGATGGGCTCTGGAAAAAATGTCCGTGTCTAGGACTCCCTTTTCTTATTCATTAAGTGAGGAGGTTGGATCAGCTGGCCTTCAGGTCATTTCTAGCATTGACTCCAGGTTTTGAAGCAATCTTGGTGGGCTCCACGGACACCACAAGCTTCACGGCCCCAGGGCCATCTGACCCCTGGTTTTCTGCTGCTTCTCTGCAGATAAAGTCAGATTCCTCTTCTCAACAAAGCAGCTTGAGCCTGGGCCCAGCCCTTTCCAGGCTACCACCTGCTAGCCTCTCCCCTCCACACCCCCTCTCCTCTCTGCCGTCCCCCTGCACATCCTTCCCCCTACATGCTTTCCCTCCCTTCATACCCTGCCTTCCTCCTTGCCTCTGTCCCAGCCCAAGACTTCCAGACACTCTCCCATGGGGATCTATCCTGGACATCCCGTGGCCCCCACTGCTCATTCTGTGTGGACACAGGTAAGTTCAACCACTTCCTGCTCTTTGGGCTCAGTGTACATCTTTGGGCTCCCATTGCTCCTTGTGCCCATGCGGCCTTCTCACAGGCCTGTCCTGAGGTCCCGAGGCCCTGAGGCAGTGGTGAGGCCCATTCCTGCCCACCGACTCCACCTCAGCTGTCCTCCCTCCCATCTCTTGTAGATCATGGTTGTTGTCCTCATTATGTCCTTAGGTTCTAGATCTTTCCTCAAACTCCTGGCCAGTATTTCAGGATCTCCCTGCTGGCTTCCTCTGCCTGCCAGGAATGCCTTGGAAGTATGCAGCCCTTTATAGAAAGGAGAGGACTTTCACATCCATTCCGGTGTTGGCCTAGGACCAGCCTGTGGGGCCACCACAGTCATGCTTGGCTCCTGGAGAGAAGGTGTTCGCATGTTGGCTGGTTCCTGGATGATAAGTTTGTGTGGGAGAGACGTCTGATAACCACTTGCAGAATAATATGATTTCGGGGGAACCTATTCTTACAGGTTCTTTCCTAATTAAGAAACTGCAGCAGGGAGAATGCAGAGAAGAAAACAAAGGTGGTGGGAGCCAGTGATGGAGGCTGGGATGGGGAGAAAACGGGAAAGGCCCTTGGGGAATGGCAGTGGTGTGCTGCCCCCTTGTGGTGGGGCTGTGTCAGGACAGCCTGAGGCTAGGGTTCTGATTAGGTTTCTGGTGAGAAAGAGGGTTCAGCTTCAGGTTTGGTTAAGGCCCAGGAGCTTGGAGGGTCCCATCTGCTGGCATGGGGGAGACGTGCCCCGAGAGATGAGTTGAGGGTGATGGTCAGCGTGAGGCACAAGCTTAGGGCTGGTATTCAGTGGGGCACTGATGGTGGGGTTTGTCTCTGGTTGACTTTCAGATTTTTCAAGCTTAAGCTATTTATGGGAAAATCAAATGGTAGGATTTCCTTCTGGGTTGCTAGGTGAGTCTTCTGGTGTCACTCAGGTGTCTGAAATCCCTCTGGGTTCGGAACCAGGCTTTGGGGCTGCTCATTTCAAAACCCAACATAGGGTTAGGGTTAGAGCCCAGGTGCTTGGAGGCTCCTATCTGGGGGTCCTTTTGAGATCCCGCGAAGGTAAGGATGAGGCTCAGGCTCATTGTTCGTGTGGAGGGGTATGCAGAATGCGGGGCTAGGCTCAGGGGGTACTTGGGTTTGTCCTACATTATCTATCTTCCATACTTTCGAATGACATGACTTTCTCTTTTTGTTGCTGGAGGCTTCTGGTATTGCTGATGAGCCCCAAATTCCTTGGTTTTCAGAGCCGGGCTTTGGGGCTGGGTAGGTTCATAACTGAACCTAGAGTTAGGGTTAGGGTGAGGGCACAGGAGCTTGGGGGGTTCTACTCAATGGCAGTGTGAAGACTTGTCCAGACGGATGAGTTGAGG